GGATCTTGCTTTCACACGCAGGTAGACACATGAATGAATGAAGTCAAATGAAGCGTATAAGTTTCCACTGCACTGCCATAAGGCTTTTAAATAATTTACATCCAACTTTTGGGGAAACCCAATTCTCTGGCTCATTGTCCTATGTTTATTATATTGGCGTTAGGATGTGGATCTTTTTGGTAAATGAAAACATCCAGAAGCAGCTTTTCTCAAATCTCTTCTTACCGTAAGCATTACCATATCACGTACAGTCACTTTAGCACCTGTCTCTTTCACCTGATATGGGCGTTCCCCTGCAATTACACCTCAATCTCTACATTTGTCATACTCTTGCGGTAAGCACCCACGAACAAAGGGAACACGTCCACCAAATCGGCGTATGACTAATTCAAGACGGCGGGATAGAGTTAACTGTTAGAATGACTAATACGGGTGGATCTGCTGAGGCAACATCTGCATGGAAAATCAAACATAAAAGAAAGCCATTATGAGGTGAAACTGGCAAGGAAGTAAAGTTGTAGTCAGATGCACCCGTTTGTGACCGGCCTATGAACCGTAGATGTCCACCTACACCCCAGGCCATGCTTTGGAAATGGTGTCTCATTCCTGGAAGTGTGCTGAGGTGAATTTCTATATTAAAAGCTAGAAAAAGCCTCATGTGTTCCAAGGACTGCAGCCAAGTGTGCAGTCTACACATGTGTCTGGCTCTCCGTCCGGTATGTTAAATATTTACTGGGAACATGTTCTTTGAGGGTTGTGTAAGCTTGTGGAGATTGACTTCAATTGGTTTGAGTTATTTTTGTCTTTTAGGTTTAGTCAGGGGTTGTCACGGTGAAACAGCAGCATTTTGGTAGGTTTCTGAGGGTGTGTGCGTTGCTCATTCACCACATCAAACATGAGAAACCAAGATGTATATCTGAACCAGGCCAGGAAGAAACCAGGACGAGAGCAGGATCAAAGCAAGAAAGTCCTGGGTTCAATTCCACCTCCAGGCCTTTCTGTGTGGAGTTTGCATGCTCTCCCTGTGTTTGTGTAGATTTCCTCCAGGTGCTCCGCTCTTCTAGCCTGGCTCTCGCCAGACCCTTGTAGTTCCGCCGTGCTCCACCAGAGGCGTTTCGCTTCGCACACAAGGGTCTGGGATCAAGCGCATAGCAAACTCCTTCAGCAGATCATAAAATAATCGACCAATCAGGATTGCCGGTGTTTCATCGGGTTTGCACCGCCTTCTCAATCGTGTCTCAGGCGGCAGCGAAAGCAATCCAAGATGGCGGACATGAAGTCCGTCAATTTAAAAATACAGTTTAAATACGTTTAAATACGAACAAATTAAGATGCAGATGTCACTTTTAATGCCATTTGAGGCAAGATGTTGATGGTTCCATGTTGATGGTTCCATGTTGATGGTTCCATGTTGATGGTTCTATGTTGATGGTTCTATGTTGATGGTTCTATGTTGATGGTTCTATGTTGATGGTTCCATGTTGATGGTTCTATGTTGTTATATGTGTGTTTTAAGAGTCAAATGTTTTGTGTAAAGTGTGGTTTAAGGACTGGTTTAGGTGTTCCTGTTTACAACACTACACAGCAGGGTTGCCAGGTTGGGTGGTTTCCCGCATACTTTTTTCCAAGAAACTTGTAGGTAATAAATAAACAGAAAGACAATAAACAGAATCATGATAGGCCAAGTTGATTACATTGCGTTATTAGCACACACAAAAATTATTCTGTTTTTTTTTTTTTTTGGGCATTCTTGCGGGTTTTGAGCTGGAAAATCTTTCTGGCATTTGGCAACCCATGGGGGTCGTGTGCTTCGATGTGAGTGGTTGAAGTCACTCAAGATAACAAACTGGTTTATCCAATCACATACAAGGATTTTTTTTTACAAGGCCCCGCCTTCTGAAATGTATCCTCTATGGGTTAGATCCAGACCCATGTGAGAAGCGCAGCGATCTACAAGGGTGGTCTGGCGATAGTCAGGCTACCGCTTTCCCCTGCAGATAAAAACATGTGCAATAGTCCTGAATGTAACAAGTGAGAGAATGGTGATGATCAGAGGCTTTGGGTGACCTAACAATAAATAGGGCACATATTGTTTGATGAACATTGCGTTTACATCTTTTATGTTGTTTTTTGTGTTTCTATCTACTTTTTTTTCTTACTTAAAGCTGCTTTATGGAGTGGGGTTTTGCAGTTTGAGAGACCAGGGAAGGCTATAGACACAAATGCACAAGGAGAAAGGTCAAAGCAAGAGGTTCATTGTACAACTGCTTTTGTCATACTGATGTGGCACAGAACTATGGATCTGCTGCTACTGTCAGTTGCTCTGAGCTGTACATTTAGGGCCTGTGCTCTCATAATGTTCTCATAAAATGTAGAATATAGATGCATATTTGAATAAAAGATCCTTGCAGATAAGGAAGAAAATAGATGAGATACAGGCCATTTTATGAATATACAAAAGCTATTTATTTTATGGTTGTCGAAATACAGCTGCCAGGACTGTGCCTTTGTGTCATGTGACATCCAGAACTCATGCAGAAGTTCAGCCTGTCAGACAAATAACATTACATACATGAATTATGCATGCAGCTAGACTGAGCGCCATCAAATTATTTATTACCAGGCTGTAAATCTAAGCCACAGTTTACACCTCAGTGGGAAATAAGATAACATTTTCTAAGGACATTTCTTGTCAAACTGAAAATATTAAACAGCAGATTTTTTGCATATTGCAGCGAGAGGAACACACGTCTAACCACTCTCTACCGGAGTGTCTTATGTCTGCGTGACTCCAAAGCAGCCTGCTTACTCACAGACAAAACTGTGCTCTCACTGCTGTCAGCTTTTCACTCCAGAACCTTTTAACTCCCTCAAGTATTTGCACAACTTTTTCTGTTGAGCCCGGCCATAATTTGTGTGTGTGTACGCGTTGCCCTACCCTCAAAGACCTCGTCATGTCACAGTGACCAGAAAGCAATTATCGGTATATTGCCACTTTGAGCTGGACTTCCTCCGCTCACTTCTTCCCGGTGAAAGAGAAGATAACAAAGAGATAAAATTAGAAAAATAACACAGAATGGAATGGTAAGAGACAGAAACAAAGAATAACCCAGAGGCAAACAAGAGGGCAGAATGTCAGGCTGACATTGAGCGCTGAATCGGGACAAGAGCTCTTCAAATGGCTGCGCCGGAGAGTGCCCCTGCCCCGAGACCGAAGGACCCTCGTACAGACGTCTGATTCAAAATGCACTAGACATGGACCATTTACACAATACACAAGTGAACTCTTATGCAAGTTCATTTTAAGCCTATTCTTAAAGTAGGGGTCGACCGTTTTTGTCAGTGCTGATACCGATAGATAGTAAGTAAGTTATGCATGTTTATTTCGTATCGCGTATTTCACAGACACTATATTTTTCCATTCACTCCCCACACAGGGATGACACAAGCGAGACGCCGAACAGTCTGGCGGTTGATGGCGATTCGACAATTTTGTGAAGTCCTCCGAGACTACTGCTGTTGAGATTTAGGGCTATGCATAAATACATTGAGATGAAATGGACGTGAGTGCAGCTGTTGTGCAGTAGACTAATAAATGTGTGTGTTTAGTTGAGTTATGTCGTTGTTGTTTTGATTGAAGACTGCGGTAAAAAACAGTGCATTGTTTTTCATTTTTCAAATCACTAAAGTGTTGGTTTTTTTATTTTTTTATTTGAATGTTTCAAAATCACATGAGTTTTGACTTTGATTATGACAACACTTGTTTATTTAGAGACAGCCTGTGAGCTAAAAACCCATAATAGTTTTAACAATCTTCTTTAAAGGTGCACTACAGTATGTAGAAAACAGTTCATATGTTTAAGCTATTATAAAAAAATCCTTTTCGTCACACAGTGGGGAAATTTCAATGTTGCAGCGCACATACAGGACAGAAACACAGGGAGCACACAAAATATACAAAATAAGTAGTAGCTATGTTTCTTAGCTAGCTGTGAATCCTTCAATACCAGTCTTTCAAATAATAGATATATATATATATATATATATATATATATATATATATATATATATGCAGTGTGTTATATACTGTGTACATTTAGGGCAGGATAATGCATAACGTAAAGTGACATTTTTCAGTGGACACTCTGAAGTTGCAGTATTGCACATTGCACATGATTGCAGTATTTACTTTTTTACAGATGAATGACATTTACAGGCTCAGCAGTTCTCATTGTACAGTCTCTGCATATTTGGCCTTGTAGTTGACCTGTCGTTGCTGTGAGAGAGGGCAGCGTGGTGCCTTCTTTCCATCACAATGATCACTACGATGCTCTAGGATCAATTATCTGGAATGTTTTCTCTGGTGAGAGACCTCTGCACCAGAAAACCAACAAAACAATGGATCCTGGAGCTCTGTAGACACAACCCTGATCAAAATTCCACATCAAAAGTTTCATAATACACATTAAAGTCAAGTGTTACGGAAGCACAACTCATATAAATATAACCTACATTTTGGAATCCATTTTCTGTAAATGCGGGCATTCTTTTTTGCTAATATTGAAACCGCTATGTCTCAAATATATTCTCTTCTGAACATCTGTTTTTGCACCGTATTCAATCTGTCAGCAGGAAAATGAACAGACAGCGAAAAGAACAGTAGCAGACACTTTGTATTGACTTGTTAACAACAGATCATCCCGGTGTACCATTTCAAACTTTCCACAAATCACCACGTCGGACATGTTTACCTTTGTTCTATTTGTTGTCACTCCTTTTGAATAGTTTCGCAGAGTGTAGAATTCCTTCTTTTTCACAGCTTGCTACTTTGCCTGTCAGTGCCGTCTCCGTCTGCAGTCCTTTGTGTAAATCTTACTACATTACAACCGTGGGTGACAGGCTTGGGAAAAGTGCCAACGCCGGAGTGCTTTTGTCGACTTTTACAATATCTTTTTTGCTGTCAAATCAACTTTTCCCCCTGTGCGTGTCTTTGTCAACAGGCGTACGGCGCGATTTGGCACATTCCACAGACGAGCTCCAGAAAGCCACGTCGGAGCAGGAGCGGCTGACCCTACGGCTGATGTAAGTGGAATCATCGCAGGTGCCTTGTGGTATGCAGGCTATGACTCTGCTATGCGAGGAGCAGGTCAGAGCAAGGCTAGGGCTCAATTGGCTCTCTGTGCGAAGGTCCAAAACCAATAGAAATCTGTAGCACGGCCTCCTAAGCAGCGGCCAGGACCAGGAAATGCTCACGTTCCACAAAACAGGAGGACTTAACTGCCAAAACACCGGGTTTAACACGCACAGAGTTCTAGTCCGGGTTTTTAGGGGAGTGTCAAAATATGGTGGCGCTGGATGGAGGAAGAAAAAGTTGCTGCAAAATAGTTGTAAGTAAGTCGGGCTACGGACGAGGAAAGCAGAAAGTTAAAGCTGAAACAACAATTGGGAGAAATGTTCACCGTTTAAAGGAAAAGATATTACACATTGCTTTTGTCCAACAATGAGCTGGAGGTTTGTGTGGATAGGGAAGTTTGGGCGTTTCTTCTTAGACTGCTGCCCCCAAGACCCAGCAACGGATAAAGCGGAAGAAAACCATTTACTTTGTCATTGTTTATGTTAGAATGTGTGATAATATCTTAGAAGAAAAGTATCAAGGGCAGCTCACTACGCTACACACCAGAGGGTGGTAGCGTACAGCCGGTAATCTTCAAATCTACAATTTGAAGATTACCGGCTGCAACCATAGCCATGTGATACTGTAGCAAAGGACATAGTTTCAGTTTCACAAACATTTAGGACAGGAGCCTTTAGACAAAGAGGCGGAGTTACATGTTTGTGCTAGAAGTTCATGAAAAGGATACTCCAGCTCTAAAGGAGACATGCAAAATTATTATCAGGAATACATATTTTGTTCTAACAGAAAGTTTTGTGCTAGGAACATTTTCATCTAAGGCTATCTTCATCCCATTATAAAACATGTCATCTTTCTGACCTTTGTGAAAGCTGTATGTTCCCTGTCAGCTGAGGACAATACCTTTTTGTTAACATTTCACAGGAACATTTTCTGTCTAGACCTTGGGACTTCAGGCTGCAGTGCTTGTCTCACTGAATTTGTGTTGCCAAAAGTACATGTAATTGAAAACTAGAACTGTTTTCAGAGCTTGGAACTATCATTGTAGCACAAAAGGCTAGCACAAAAATATTCCAGGTAAACAACTGGTTTACCTGGAATATTCTGCAAAATATATGTTCTTATATAAGATGTCATTCAGTACTTTAATTACTGTGTGAGAAGCATTGAGACTGGAGTACTATCATACCTGAGTTAGCTGCACCTCCTACATAATTATCATTTGCCCATATTTTTCGCCATCACTGATTGACAGGAGTATTTCTGCCATGAGGTGAAACAAAATGCAGCTATGCGAAAAGGATGTCATAAGGGTGATAAATAAAAGTCCAAGGTGGAAACAAACTCAAAAGACAATGGACCAGCAACAAGCACAGGTAAATATAGACACAAAGAGACACAGGTGAAACACACTAGGGCGGGGAAGACGGGGAACAGGACAGGAAGTCAAACTAAAACAAAACCACAGAACTGAAGCCAAAATGGATAGATAGATAGATACTTTATTGATCCCCATAGGAGAAATTAAGGTGTCCATTAGCAGCAAAAATAAAATTGATAATTCTAAAAAGCTAACAATAGTAATAATCAGCAACAGCCATTCAGGTCACAGCAGCAGAGGTGGTGTAGCCTCTGGGTGGAGCAGGACGGGTCAAGGTGGAGGAGCCGCTTGGTTTGGACCATTTTCTCTGCTGTAGTCCAAGGTAAAATGCTAAATGCTTCATTAGCATTTTTCAAATAAAAATTAAAACAAAGTACGAAAATAAAATCCAAACCATGACAATTTCTTTGTTGAGTCATTTCAATAAGATTTCTTTTTTTTTAGCCGTGTAAGCAACTGGAAGTCACAGACTAGGATATTGCTTTGGCTCGCTGTGAAAACAAGTCAAAGGTATGGGATAGAATAAGGTAGATTAACAAATGTAAAGGTTATTGGTCGATACTGCGATAGATGGTTTTGATATCTAGCCTTCATTGTGTCATATTCTGGTTCAGATTTATGTTTGTAATAGGGCTGTCAAAATTATCGCGTTAACTCACGTTAATTAAATTTTTCATTAACGCGTAATTTTTTTTTTTTAACGCATGTCCGAATGACCCGCCCATTTATCCATAATATCCCTCAGAATGCTGCGTGTGAGATGCATCAGAGCAGGTAGGCCCTCTGCGAATTCAACTTTTAAAAGAATATGCACGTCACCGCGGGGCTTTTGTTTGCTGTGAACTGAAGTCCGCCTCCTCTGCGGACGCTCTGGTTGTTGTTAGCGGCTGCAGCTGACAACAACACGGCTGTGAGCGAATGCCGCTGCGGTAACATGGTCATATAAGACCATACACGCCACAGAACTATTGTCTGCATGTTGTGTTTGTGTCTTTGCAGCCTGTACGTAACCTATCCACGCAAATACACCGCGAAAGTGTCCGTGTCTCCTGAAACTAAACTAAACTAAACTCGCTGAATTAAAGCTGGGGTATGTAAATTTCCCCCTTTCACAGTTCATTTTGGTTGTGCCCAAAAGCAAAAGGTTGTGAGCAAATCTAACAGATTTAAGTACATTTGGTATAAATGACTATGTGGGATTACATTTGATAATCTCATTTAAAGCTTAGCTTTTTACCATCTAAAAAACATTGCCAAGATCAAAAACATAGTGTCTAAAGCAGACCTGGAGATTCTTATCCATGCATTTGTCTCCACTTGGTTAGACTACTGCAATGGCCTGCTCACAGGTCTGTCCAAACAGGCTGTAAAACAGCTGCAGTACATTCAAAATGCAGCAGCTCGAGTCCTGACTAGAACCAGGAATTACGACCACATTAGTCCAGTCCTCAGGTCCCTGCACTGGCTTCCTGTGGCTCAGAGAATAGACTTTTAAACAGCTCTGCTTGTTACAAGTCTCCATGGCCTCGCACCAAACTATATTAGTGACATGTTAGTCCCATACGAACCAGCCCGGACTCTGAGGAGCACAGGGACTGGACTCCTGTTAGTGCCCAGAGTCAGAACTAAACATGGGGAGGCTGCTTTTCAGATTCATGCTGCTAAAATCTGGAACAGTCTTCCTGAAGATGTGAGACAGGCCTCCTCTCTGACAATGTTTAAAACCAGGTTAAAGACAGTTCTGTTTAGCTGTGCATACAACTGAGGGATTTTATATTTGTATCTTTCTTTTTAATGTACTGTGATAATTTATGATTTTAATGCTTTCTTGTTGTGTTCAGCACTTTGAATTGCCTTGTGTATGAATTGTGCTATATAAATAAACTTGCCTTGCCTTAACTTCAATGCGAGTGGATTTGTACGGAAGCTTGTTAGGTTCACTTGTGAGTGTATTTTTTTCCCGCTGGTGGTATGTTATTTCATGAAATAGCATGAAATAACATGATAGTTGTGTATCATGAAATAACATGATATTTATCATGTTATTTCATGAAAGTATCATGAAATAACATGATAGTTGTGTATCATGAAATAACATGATATTTATCATGTTATTTCATGAAAGTATCATGAAATAACATGATACCAGCGAAAAAAAAAAAAAAAACACTCACAAGTGAACCTAACAAGCTTCCATAGATTTGAAATAGAATGTTAAAAATGTGATTAATCGTGAGTTAACTCACCATTACTGTGTGATTAATCAACTAAAAAATTGTAATCGTTTGACAGCCCTAGTTTGTAATATTTCATCACGTATTTAAATAATCCTGTACATCCAGTCCCAGCCACCCGCTCCCAAAATACCACATCTCATTTGTCTGCAATAATCTAGTCCGTCTTTGTATTATTCCGGTGCTCATGTTATGTGAGTGATTGCTGTTAGGAGCTTCTGAAAATGGATCCCTGAGTCCTGACTGACTATATGTAAACTGTGATCTGCTTCACTGGCGGCCAAAATCACCGCGCAGAGAGTATTCCCAATCCAATGGATCCAATCCAATCTAACTTCTACCTTGGAGCTAAATGCATCTCACATTGATTCTCTACAAATCGGTAGAGTTTTTCAGAGCTGTCCGTTTTTTGTTTTTGTCTTGTAAACCGTCGGGATTAGCTAATCCATAAAACTGTATTTAATGATTATTTTGAAAATGTATTAGTTGTTTGGATCCTGAGAAGTCAGTGAATATGGGATTTTTTTTTTACATTTGGTTTGTTTTGGTTAAAAATACTTTGTAAACACCTTCCACATATTTCCTTCTGCAGTCATAGAATTATCTGGGTCATAAAACCTCTTCTCAGCGTTTACGTCTATGAAGGCTGAAAAATTATTATTTTGTTTCTAAATTAGTCAACAAGTATTTCAACAATTGATTAATAGCTAAAAAATGATTTATTTTGGAGGGGATTGGAGTTATATAAGTTTGCTTCATCCAATCCCTTTGCAAACCATGTACATGTATTGTGTTTATTGTTCTGTGAATATTTGTGAGCACATGTTTGAAATGAATCAATTCACTTCAATAACTTGTCACAGCCTTCTATCCTATGCTCTAAAACGAAGTATGTGAAATATACAAGACAATATACCATATAAGAATTCTAACATAATGAATGAAAATAGAAATAGAAATCTCTGTGAATGACGCCAAGTATTAGCAGTTGAAAGTAGCATGTGCTCGTAGTGTGTTTGTGTGTTTATCCCAAGACTTTATCCCAAGACTTAGACGGGTGGATATCCTGGATGCTCGACGTCTCACGCAACCCTGAGCCAGACATGTGGACATATGTTCAGAGGAGAAAGGCTCTCCGGGCCATGGTGCATGATAAGTGTGTGTGTGAGAGGAGGAGGCAACGTCAGGAGCAGCTTTATTGGATGATAAGGCATGTGTGAGACTGACTGTGTGCAGAGGGGGATTGGAGGCCAGGGAAAGCAGAGCCTTACTCTAATCTCTGCAACTACTGTTTGTCCGTGCAACCACACTATTAAGGTATTTCTGGTGCAATCTC